GGTTTTTCGTACAAAAATCCCCAGGTCGTCTCTTCATTACACACACTGAGCCTGTTCAAACAACTCAGCATTTAACCCGCAAGGTAGTCTTTTCATCGATGCATGTCCAGTGTGAACTGTTTTATTATCATCATTCACCTTTATTCAACCAAGAAAGTCCCACAAAGATTTTTTCAGGGAACTTCTGGCCCCAGAAAGAGGGGAGCTACAGTATTTGCCATGTTTTCTGTGGTAGGGGAAATCGAAGCACCTGGAGGAAACCGAAGCAGACACAGGGAGAACATGCAAGCTCCACTCAGACAAGCCCTTTTGTGGCCGGGATTCGAACACAGGATATTTTTGCAACCTTTCTATTAAGATATGTGTAAAAAAATATCTTTGTTTTTCTGTGGATGTGGAGGATAAGTGTCCTGTAGTTAATTTTAATGGGATTCCCTGCTCTATGGGTGCACTGTGCTGTGACTTTCGAAGATTTATTTTGAATGCAGGAAGTGTGTTCATCTCCTTAACTCAAACGCCGAGCTTTCCCACTGTTGTTCTGGGACAGCATTTCAACAGCTATCTAATGCATTAGTTGCATTATGTCATGGCCTACACATTTTCTTTGCTTGCTTTGGTGTATCATGCTGTGAACCAATTATAAAAGCAAATCAACATTTTAGCATCATGTTAGACAAGTCATTTTGGTTATGTTTTTGCAAAATAAATCAACCATATCTGCTATCTTAAATTAGAATAGATTCAATACAGTTATCTTGTTTAATAGCTTTGGCCTTGCAGATCTGAACTCTTGTTGTAAAGATTTAGAATACTCAAAAATGTTTTTATTTGTTAAACTCCCACCACTATCTACTTTCCTTTGGTCAGTCCTAAGCCGTCTCTTCTTCAGCATTCTCAGCGGATACAAATTGTCAAAGAGGTCATGTCCTTGCCTTGCTCCCAAACACTGGTATTGTCGCTGTTAACTGAGCAAATTTACTTAAGACTCGAGCTTATTCACCCGCTAACGCTGCCGCACTTGTCTGCACACAACACTCACTCTCGCAGGGCCCCAGGGAGTTAAGGGAATAAAAAAAAAGATGGACTGTGAGATGGACACAAAGGGACTACCGGTATTTCCCTTTTCAGGCACGGGGATTGTCAGGAGAATCTGAAGGTGTACTTGTTAATCGACTGGCGCGGGCTGAGGTCACAGCTGTAACATAGACCAGGGGCAGTAAATGGATGAGGAGCGGTCAAAGGAGGCGCTTAGACATTCCTTTAGAAAATAAACAGAACAAAAAACGGGCTTCTCCAGACAAGTATTTCAAATAGATCCATCAAAATGTAACTTGGTCCCATAAACTGTGCACAATCAGGAACTGTATTGAAATAAAGTTGAAAGGCTTAAGCTTTCATGACATTTTTTTTTCTTTTTCAATTCATCAATTTATCTTGGTTTGGGATCACTACTTACTTTTAGAATAGTATTGTGAATTCTACTTTCATTCGCATTAATTGAGGCCATAATAATTGTGTGAATACTGGATACAGCATATGTATTTTTGTGTGTTTAGATAAACACAAGATTTCAGATTTTTAAAGTGCTTTCTTCGACAGGATATGGTTTACCGTAATAAGAATATGATATAATAATATATGACACCCGATTAAGGTCACTATACATGGCATTGATTATTCCACAATAATTCACGCACAGAGAAGACTAAGACTTTGCAATAGGAGAAGTGTCCTGCCCAAGGACACAACAACAGCAACATGCTCAGTCACCGCAATGTGAAGATTTGTGAAGGTTTGCTATCTCTAATGTAAGTAATCTTTTATCTAATCTGTATTTATATAGCGCAATCTAAAGACCAAGTCACCCAAAGCACTTTACAATTGTTGAGAGTTCAGATATTAGTCCATTCTCTCCACACACTGGTGCACCAAAGCCCCCAACACCATCCATTCACTCACTCATTACATTCACACTTATTGTACATGTTTTAGTGGTAGGGGAAACTGGAACACTCTGAGGAAACCGGAGCACTCGGAGGAAACCTTCGCAGACCCGGGGAGAACATGCAAACTCCACATAAGAAGGCCTAGAGGTGAAATCAAACCCAGGACCTTCTTGCTGTGAAGGACAAGCTCTAACCGCGGCACGGTGGCAATCCCCATTTCATGTTGGCCTGTCCAGGCCATGCTTCCTCTTCAAAGGATTTGTTAGACAAATGTTTTCATAAAAAACAGAAATGTCTCTGCCTTTCTGTATTATGGTGAAAACTGATTAGACTCAGATTTAGATCAACTGACCCAAAAAGGTTGTTTATTTGTTGTGACAAAACCTTGGTATTTTTTGAGTAGTTTTATCTTACCACTGAGAATAAAATCTTCAAAACTGTGTTTGTGTTTTGCTATAGCACATGTGTGCTGCAGCTTATAGGTTTGCAGTGTTCTTTGTATACTTAAGAATACTGCAGAAGGTTGTGCAAAGCACATCACTAGTATGAAACTCTTCCACCTCTGCTGCGTTTATGAATATTTGGTGCCAAATTGAATCAAGTGAAGAGAGCAGGAGAGAATCAGGAAGACACAGCATTCCTTTCCTTTTCATCAGAGTTGACCTGGTGCAGTGTCCTCCTGCACCCTGTCAGGCCATCACAGAAGGACTATAAACATAGACTTTATCTGCACTCAATGAGAAATTATGAATTATAAACCAGCTCTCTAAGAGACATAAGTAATCATACAAAAATTATCATCCTTGAAGGTTTAGTAATGGTTGTAGGTTATGTATTTGGAACACATGATATGAAGGTTCTAATGCTGTGCTCTACGACGTGGTGAGGATGTAATATGGACTGTGTAATCTGCAGTAATGATGGAGCCTATACCTCTCTGAGTGCACTCCTGAGCAGGGCTCAGGCATGTGGGGGGTGCTTCATCGCCTCAGGAGCCATTTGCCTAAAGTCGGGGGGCGCTTGTTGTGTCAGTCATTTGCAGTCACTGCTAAAGAGTGCACTTAGCATCCTCTGTTTCCCCCTGCAAACATGTGGGGACTGGGAGTGACATGATACTGTACAAGAGCCTGAACAACATATAACATTTCAAAGACATTTCCTAATTGTTTCCAGGCCAAGGTCGACAGTCTATATGGAAGCAATCCCTTCTTTCAAACTCCCTTTTTCATCCACAGATTGGGAAACATTAAAGTGTTAAGTAAACTTAACCCAGGCCAGCTAATTCATTGGGAAATAGCAGGGTCTGTGCATTCAGTGCTGTATCAGTGTCACTCTGTCACCAGCCCTCGCTGCAGGGGAATGGTCACCATATGTTTACAGAGCCCACTGTCACATCCAGCTTTTAGGTCACCATCATGTTGTTATATGATAATACTTTCATTTATATATTCTTATTGCAGTCTTAGTATAGGTGTTAAGACTATGACTTGATGCTCGATAATGACCTTTTCAACATTTTTGTACATTTTCTGACAACAGCAAATAATATAGAGCTTTGGACTTTATTTATATTTGGTTATTATTTTGTATTACTGCTGCGGGTCAGGATGGTGAACTAAGTCATGAGCATTGTCAAGATTGCCCGTTCAATGTCAGATATTAAGATGATAAGTAACTTCTTGCAGGAAAACAACTGAAAAGATGAAATACTTTTACAGTAAAAAAGGGTGGGGCATTTATTTTAATTTCGATTTTATTTGTACAGTAATGCTGTGTGAAATATTATCCAGTAATATATGTATATAAATGATCTTAAAGTATATCATTGAAAAACCTCTTTCCACTCTAAGTGAATGCACCTCAAATTCAGATCCTATGAAGCATTTATGAGGTAGACAATATGGACGGCATTTTCCACCCTTTGAAAAACAACATATCTACAGTAATAATACACTTTAAATTACTCTCATCAATGTAACAAATATATGATTATCATGAAACTCTGTACATCACAAATAATAAAATAATTATAGAATAAAAATTATACCAATTTGAGTGCATCTGTATATTTACAAAGAAATGCTGCTTGTTCATTTCTCCAATTGTTGCACTTTCTAAAGTATTTACAAATATTACACAAAGAAATAATGAACAGCAGTGCATTCAAAGCTAATGTGCATTTAAATATTGTCTCGTATTGAGTCTTTTCATATATCTATGTATCAGTCTTTCTCTCAGTGGAAGTGCATTGAGTAAAGAAGCCTCAGTATTGTGTGCTTTAATAGGGTCCCAGTCTCTCAACAGTGAGTCCATTCTTTTTGTGGGCTGCCCCAGGGTTTTCCATACATTGGATTTCACCAGTAATAAATCCAATTGTGTTTTACAAACATTTGTCCAAGACATATCAATAAGGCTTCTGTGTAAAGTCGCTTTTGCTCCAAGATGAAGAAGGCTGCAGATAGCCTGGTGTATATGCTCAATCAATGCCACAATAACAAGTCATATTGTTCAATATTCGGAAGGCCTGTAATTATGCAGCAGTCCAATTACAAATTGCCTTTTTAAAGAAACGCCTCAACAATCGAGCCCCAATGAGCGGCGTGCTCACACTGTCCACAGCTAAATCTCATGTAGGCATCACCGTATCTCTTTGGAACATCAGACTTTTGCCCCTTCCTTTTCGGTGCGGGCGAAGAATGCACTTGTAGCTCGGGGCCTGCGCAGTGACCCCAGATAGACAGTAACACAATTACTGGCCTTTGGAAATATGCACACAACCAGAAGCGTCCAAAGTAAGTGTGCGCGCTGGCGGGGAGACAAGAGCGCATTCACATCACGGGCCAAGCGCGTCCCGGGTCCACTGGCCTCAGCACGAACAGGTGCACAGTTTGGACGCGGGGAACAAAGGCCTGTTTGATGAGTAGGTGGGAGAAAAAGAACACTTTGGGGCGAAAATAAATAGCAGCCTGTGTGTATCCCTTTAAAGTAAGGCGCGTCGTAGAATTCGGGGGGAACCTTCATACCAAATAACACTCAACCAAAGCTGAGGAGCCGCTACCTGCATCCACACTGTTCCACCACCATGTCCTCGTACTGCTTGTACACCACGTTGTTTCCAGAGTCTATGTACAAAATACTGATGGGGCTGAGTTTGGTGGGGACGCAGCAGCTCGGGGGCGTGCTGTTGGGGTCCATAGAGTTCATGAGCGTCTGTATGATTGCGTGGTTGGTGGGCTCCAGGTGCGACCTCAGTGGGAAGTCACACACGCCCTCACAGTGGTACGCTTCGTAATCCAGGGGTGCAATGATCCAGTCGTCCCAGCCCAGCTCTTTGAAGTTCACGTGTAGTGCCTTTTTGCTGCACCTGGATTTGGACTTTTTACCATGTCTTTTGCCGTGTCTGTTGCTCAGCGCAGTCCTCCGCCTCCTCCTCCTCGGGCCCTCTCCTCTCGCACTGCGCACTCCTGCCCCTTCCTCTTCCACCGAGGCTCTTACGAGGCCTCCATCCGCAGCATCCCTGTCACTCACTGATCTCCTCGCCTTGATTTTCTCCTTCATTTCATTAAACAAGTTCTCTCTCTTCTTGGAGCGAGTGTACGCCACCAATATGGCCTTCTCCTGCTGAGACCTGCCCGCTCTATCCAAGCCTAGTTGTCTCAAGTCCACGTCAGCGCCCGTCTTGCCCAGCGTGACCCTCAGTTGCAGACAGATTTGTTGATGTTTGTGATTGTGCATTTTAAACATTTGCCACACGTCCAAAACCTCCCAGCCTGCTCTGGTGGAGTCCACGGGGTCTAGTGACCTGGAGTCCAGCAGCGTGTTGGAGCGACATGGGTATAGTTGCATGTCGTAAAGGCCCAGAGAGCTGCGCCCATCTCCCATCTCTCTCCTGAATATCCTTAATTCCGCCCCAACCAACTCCTCTTTGTCTGAGAGAGTTGAGACATCAAACGTGTACTTTTGTCTTCGCAGTGGAGAGTGCAAAAGATCGTCTGTGGGGATAAAAGAAGAAAATAATTGCAGTCAGATTCACTTAGAGAGTACAGTGTTCAGAAGGAGGGGGAGGGGCGCGCATTCTCTTGGCTCCAAAGCCCCATCCTATGTCTTTTTTGTTCTCCCAAAGTCCACGTTAAACATTCTTAAACAGAACACAGCCAAAAAGTTATACTCGAAGTACTCACTCTTCCTAATGTTTTGTATATTACGAGCCAATATATTCACATGTATTTTGCGAACATGTGGCTCTTTTCCAGAACAAACCCGCTGTTTTCGCGCATCAAACACAACAACCTTTCTTTCCTACTAACTCCACGTCATAGGCTAAACACGTCAAGTAGAATATGTACGTCATTATGTAGCTAAGGACGTCATTTTGTAAACTATATGTACGTCATTATGTAGGCTATGAACGTAATTTTGCAGACTATGTGGGCCTACCTGAATCTTGTGCCATGTTTAATCAAAGTCATATATATATATAAGAATAAAAAAAAATGTTTAACGACTCGATGACGGATTGATTTTAATTTCCACCTCAGCAGCAGAACGGAAAAGGTAAAGTTTGACTACTGTAAGAGAGAAACGACAAAGAAATGGGTATAAAAAAAACAAGTTGTCATGGAGCAGTGAAGGCCCCTGGGCGCTGCCAGACACAACGGACCTGGCTACACATGAACAATATACAATTAACTCAGTATTCGGCCACGGGAGCTGGACTAGAAGCTTCAGTTACTGACTCAGCATTTTGTTAAATAAGATTATGTTTGAGTCAAGTTTATGTGTTTATAGTATTAGGCCTTTATGGATGTGGGTGCGTGCATGTTTCTAGTTTAAATCCAGGCAAGAAATGTATTGGAACAGCTTTTCCCTGAAATAGACTGTGCCGTCTTGTTATTATTATTGTATATAATTCAAATCAAGGATAAGGGAAATGTCTAAGGGGGATTAAGTGGTTTTAAACGGCGCCTGTTGCTTTAGTTTACGGCCACTGTTTTGGCTGAGCATGAATGAATCAAAATATGATCTGCCACAGTTTAAACACCATTGTGATTATGGATCATAAATCACCAGAGCAGGAAAAAAGATCTGTGAAGTTGCCTGTCAGTTCCCCTCGGTGATCCCCGCAGAGTAACATCGTAAAAACGCACTGAAGGCAAGTGGTCCTTTCCATGACTTTGAGCGTATGGTCTGCATTAGAAGTGTTCCCTTTGCCCTTTTAATTTGTTTTCAAAAGGCCCTCAAACAAATATGAGGCCAGAAAATAATTAACAGTTTTTACATCCCCATTCCCTGTTAAATAAAACACTCTTGCTCTTGAATGTCCCCTCATTCGCCAACAACAACATGATTTGCCTCAGCCCGCGCGTGCTGACGCTGTATTGGTGTTGACAAGTGAGAAATGCAAGTTTACTTCATTTCACGTCGATGTTGAAGGACATATTTCCATTACGAGTAAAATAATAATAATCTCACAAGAGAGTAGTTTTATTGCCGCTTATAATTGGTACAGCGTGGAGTTGAACGCGACCTTGTCGGTATATGAACAAACGCAAAACATGTTTTTGTCATCTATGCCTCTGTTTCTGGCGGCGCAGAGGGGGACACGCCATCTGCAGCTTTAACGAGTTACCCCCAAAGTGCCAAAAGTAATTTTCAGATCGGGTTTATTCTTTTACAATTTTTTCCACTTCTGACCAGTGGGCCTTACATTTATTATAGCATAAAATAAATGCTACAAACGGGAAAAACAAATCATTAGCTGATTCATTTGTAGGCCAACGCGTTTGTTCCTTTTGGAAGGATTAGACGGAGCATTCATGTATATTCTCTGCAGAGAGAAGGGAACATTGAGGATCAAAAATAAAGTTCCGTAATTAAAGCGACCACTGAGAGGCGGCTGCAAACGAGGGAAAGAACCAGCACTTTTCTCAACAAGGAGATATTTGGATTTTTTTCCCCCTTTGCCTCCATTTCTGGTGATGTGCCACTGTGGCCAAGTGAGATCATTATGGGAGAATAGACATTGTTGTTATGACATAAATACTCAATTAGATCAGCGAGATCAAATACTTGAATGAGCCGTTCGATGCCAAGCGACGCTCACGGGGTCAGAGCAGTGACACATCCCATCACTATCACCCAGACCTGCTCAAACCAGCCCCCAGAGAACTGCTCAAACCCGTCCGTCTGGAGGAAGTAATACAGCTATGATCTCACATGATATACTGTATGTTGATAACTTGTTGGGCTGATAAGATTATTTGGGGATTGAGAAGATTCACTGAGTGCACTAACGAATGGGCTTCAGGAGAAAGGGCAAAGGAAGATAACCTCAGTGAGGTTGATATAAACTGTTGACTCGGTTATTGTGGCCTTGTGTCTGTCGTCTGTGTTTGCATTTATTCATGTAAGTATCGTTAACCAAATGACTTGGTTACAAGCATGGCTCACCAAACACCTGCTTTCACACATGCACAACTATGGGACCTTATATTCATATTCAGAAATAACAATAAACAAAATAATAATAATAATAGTCATAAATTAAGACATTCGATTCACATTGAATTGTTGGATTATTTTTATTTTTATTTTTATTTTTATTTTTATTTTTATTAATATTATTCGGTGCCATTTTCTTCCAACTCTTCACTATGGGCCTGTCCTTTTTGAGCTTCTGTGACAGTGATTTACAGCTTTAATTTAGAAAGAGCCCTAATCAGTTTTTTAGTGTTTTGTTTCGCAAAGGTTTCCTCGAGCCATAACTGTCATCATTTATATGATGAGCTGTATAGACCAATGGAAACGTGATTGTTTTGATAGAATTGCACCGAAAAAGTACATAATACATGTAAAGGGTGACTTGAATTTTCTTCCACTTTTCTGAAACACAGGCGCGCACAGCCCTGTGGGAGACGGAGTTATGAAAGAAACCAACCTGTTCCTCTGTCCACAAAACTCGTGATGGTGTTCGCAGACTTAGACGAGCGGAAAAAGCTTGCATTTAGTCCGAGCTTCTCTGCGGCGGAGTAAGTCCGATAAATAGAAAGCATGTATTCGTGCGGCACGATGCCGTCCTTTAACTCGCCTTTGTGGAGATTAAAGTTGTTCACAACTGTATTGGAGTAGGAGAAAATGTCTTTCAACACTTTGTGGGACCTGTGTCCGTCCTGATGCAAGGCTTTGATCACCCGGTGCCGCCTTGGTGTGGATGGGGAGATGATAGCAGCAGAATTAAAACACGGTATATTCCCAAGGAAAGCCAAAATAAAGCCCAGAAAAAGCGTTAGATGGAGACACGCGTCCATGGCTGAATGTGATGACCGCTGGAGAGGAAGGAGCTCAGTCACTGCTGGTGCTGTGGTGATGGTGCGTCAGAAATGTGTCTCTTAAACACCCGCTGTCCTTTTACGCCAACTCTTGCTCTCAACCAGAAGAAGTGTGTTTTGGGTTCCTCAGCAGAGCGGAGAGAGCCGGGCCGAGAGGAACACGCCCACATGAGCGCTCACAGCAGCAGCAGCTTCCAGAACACCGCGCAGAGTTACGGAGAACGCAGAGTTTGGCCCCTGATGTGAGACTGATGTCTAAGCAGAGGTGCTGCTCACCTGCAAGGCTCATGGCACAGTGTTTATGTCTGGATATGTCTACAGTTATCTGTAAAACAAAGCGAGAAGAGTGACCACTTTGTGGACACCTTTATGTAGACAAAAGTTATGTTTCTTGCTTACATGTGTTTATGGTTAGGTTGTACTGACAAAGATTGATCACGTTTGCAGCGTTGTCCATATTCTGCAAACAACTCTACTGACATCACGTGGCGTTGGTAAGTCATTGCAAGAAAAAATACACCAGAAAATAAAATGCAAAAAATATAATAGGAGTAAAATTGAAAACCATATTGTAATATATAAGATATTATTTACAAATTATATAAAAATAATAACAAAATACATTTGACTGAAACATAGCTACACACGCTCGTGAATGTTCCTCATTATGTCCTGCAGAGGGCGCCAAAGACAACCAGGCAAACTGTTACTTCGCACATATCTGCTGTTGTTCATTTCGCGTCGACGCCCGTCAACAATATCCACGGATTTGATGGGATTATGTTTGATTATTGATAACATGACTAAAAGCTTTTACTGACTCATGTCTGACTCTTAGTTCACAATCGAATGACTTCAATTTTGCATAACCATTGCACTTGTCTTTGCCCATAATACTGCAATAACATTCTTTGGAAGATTTCAGGACCATGGAGAGCCAACGTGCCGGCGAACGGACTGGACATTGCCATTAGTCGTGGGTGAAAAAGAGTTTCAGGCTTGGATAAAGACTGTGTAGAAGGCCATCAGCGACTCCTGCTAGAATCACACATGCGTCACACATCTCGCATCATGTCGGCCACGAAAGAGTGAAGTCATGCCTCCTGTTATGTAACACACACGCGTGGAGCGGAGGAGACTGGACCAACGCATCCACAGCCTCAGCAGCATCAGCCTCACGCACGCTGAGCTTCTAACATCATCAGGAAAAAAGGTAAGATTCACAACCACATTACAGATAAGTATGTTTCAATAGGCTATGTACAGTTATGGTTTAGGTCTACTCATTGATGACAACATTAAATCATGTTGTTCAGGCTGGGAAACATTTTACATTATTATTGCTGGCTCTGTTGGTGCCACGGAATGCCAACATGTTATGCTGGGTGAATGTCTGGCACTTAATCCTGATTACATAGCACAGACTTTTTGGTAAACAAACCGTGTAATGATGGGAATGGTGAGCAAAACATGTCAATTTAAAGCAATTTGTTGCACTTGGGTTCTTATGGGTCGTCTTTGCAGTGTCACAAGACTGATCCTGATTCATTCATGACCTAAAAGAGATGCCTAAAAGAGCTATAGTATTTTCATGTTGCTGTTTGTGTATCTGCTTGTCCATTTGAATGTGTTGTCTGAATGTTTTGATTCCCTTTTACTTTATGTAATTATGTAAAAAAGATCATGGTTGTTGTTTTGTTGCTGTTTGTACAGGCCTGTGGACATGGTTCTGTGGACATGGTTCTGTGGACATGGTTCTGTGGTATGGTGCGACAGATTAGAGTAGATCAAGTATTTATCGTGCGTCATCAGTGCAATAGTACCTGATTACTGTTCTCACAGAAAGTGCTCGGTGCTCATCAACATCTGTGTCCTCGATAAACAAGAAAACACAGCACAGAGGATTACAGACCATAATACTCACACCAACGCTTCTGAAAGTAGACCATCTGGACAGTCAAAAGGCTAGAGCTCAGGGAATGTTTATGGTTCACAAAACATCAAACCTATAAATGACTGAATGCATTGGTTTTGTTGAAGTCTGTGGCATAAAACCATCATGCGTCATTAGCTTTGTGAACAGAAAGAAAAAGAGAGATAAATGCACTTGTTATGAATCATGAGAAGGCTTCATTGTACACAAGTTTAGATATGGGTAAATATCTGAGCTTGACCTATAAGATAAAACATTTTAAAAATAATTTAGGATATAGGCAATTATATCAAGTGTATAAATTGTGTATTTAGGTCACCTTTTCTACATTGAAGTATTCTTTTACCACCAGGATTTTCAAACAAAAGGCCAGGCAGTATGTTTCTTTAGATGTTTTAAATAATGAGTTAATGTTTATTCCCTGGGTAACTAAGCCTGTTGCTAGGCACGTCTCTCCTCTGCCTCTCTGCCCTGCTTCTGCTTAATCCATGTACGATGCCCAAATACCATTTTTGCCAGCAGCGCAGTCTAGGATAAGTCTGCTCTGTGAGAATGTCGACAAGCTGAAGGAAAGATGGCACACAGACCCCAGTGAATCAAAGCTATTTCTGATGTGGAAGACTTATCCCACAAGGCACTGCTCCAGTTTTACAATCCGTAGGCCTGCGCTGAGAGTGATTGGACTTGCACTGAGCAGTTCTTGTATATTATGTAAAGGCAGTGAAATGAGGGCAGAAAGATCACCCACTGTAACAGCATCACTGAACAAAACAGGGTGATAGGTTTAGACCCAAAGCTTCTGGGTAGTACATGGGGTCAATGACGTCACATTATGTCCTTATGCAATAGCCCCTTTCCAGGCAAAGATGTTAAGAGCAGGGAAAATAGGTCAAATGGATTGCACTGTGTAACACTGTCAAGACTTTCTTCCACACTTTTTTCTCAGTTACATTATAATAATAATAATAGTAAGTAATATATTACTTGTGAGTTTGAAAGATTGTTGAGTTGAGTTGAGTGTTTATTTATTTCAAATTCAGTGTACATCAAACATTAATCATCAAATGTCACTACTTTCTCCAGCCCACTAAATGTAAAATATCCACTTTGAAGTAAAGCTGCAGTTTGCCATTGCAGGCATTATGGATGACCATGCTTTCAAACTTTAGCAGTTCCCTATTTCACTTATTTTGGCTGGTTATGTGTGAATATGTGTGTACGGCTGTAAGTGGATGGGTCTCAACACCATATGCAGCACTGAAGGTGCTTGTTTGTCTAAAAATGTGAGTGCCTCAAATGACTCGTCTAAATATTCCCTGTTTTGTTTTTTTCAGGGGAAAGCTATTCTGAAGCACAATGGGACCTTTCCAGGATTATAAGGTCAGTCGATCCAGGGTCTTAATTAAACAGCATTGCTAACCTTATTCGGATTCAAAAATATGTATTTGTTTTGTTGTAGAAGTCGACAATCAAGGTGTCAGGCAGCCGTATCCCACGACTGGTGCTCCACCCACATCAGATTAAATCCAAAAGTTCACCTCTGTCAGATTTTCCGTATTCAGAAGAGGAGGGGAAAGATTCTGACCACTCCAAAGGGACCATCAGCACCAACAGCTTCTACTCTGGTGAGATCTGCTTATGCAATGGTCTAGTTTAGTATTTAGTAGGTTGATTTCTTTAATTTGGCACAGCACTTTGGTTATGTAATCTAAAACACATAACAGCGCAAATCCATAATTAATTTGCTTGCGTGACATGTGAGGGAATCGGAACCATGCAGCTAAAATGTTCTCTTGTCTCTGTATGAGTCATAACAAAATGTCTGTGAAAATTATATTATATAATCTGTTAGTTAGTACAGTAATTGTGACTGCAGCAAACAAAGAAATAGTGGTAAGAGTCTTTGCTGTGACCCAATCAAAGTTATTTCTATAGAACATTTTATAAACAACCAGTTTTCTGACGGACTGCACTGAGATAATTTAACATCAAAATTCACTCACTCCTCTACCAACAAGTCTCTAAAATGAATAAAACATAAAAAGTACAATACATGAACCAACAAAATAGCTGGATATGAGAAAAATATATACATTATACATACAATAAAGAGAATCACACAGCTTGGTGTTCAAAGCCAGCCTGAGCTGCAGATGCCCCACAGACCTCTGCACACTAGATAGGTGGTACATTTTGCACAATTTGTAAACCGTATTCCAATGTGTTTTTTACTGCAAATGGCAAATAAAAATGAATCTCAAATGAATCTGAACTCCTATGTGCTTTTCTGTCATTAAGAAAACAAGACAAAGTTCCAGTGGGATACAGTCTGCTCAATAACAGCCATATTCTGTTCTGTTTTGGTTCTATATGGTCAGATGACACCGGCTGCCCCACCAGTGAGTCTGTGTCCCCCACCATAACTCCATCCGGCTCAGAGCAGAGCACAAACAGCTCCCCTGTCCTGGCTGGACGCACTGCCAAAGTGAAGAGGGTCCGGGTCGTGGTGGAGGGAGGAGGAGAACCGCATCCCAGAACAAGACAAAAGAGGGAAGTACGATCTGCTATGAAGCACAAAGGTAAGTCGCAACCATATTCAAATCTATTCAAAGCTTATTTTCTCTTCTATTTCGAAATAATGAATCAAGATAAAATATGAGATGATTTTGTGTTTCTACTTTTGGTAAATATGTCATATGAACTGAACATGTTGTCTATTTTCTTTTTAATGCAAATTTAGTGAAGTGGCCAAACTTGCCCTGTGTAAGGTTCGCTGGATGTAGTGTGCGTCTCTCACCATCAAAATACAGCAAAATACTGTGTTCACAATCATTTATTCGCCATCCACAGATTGCACAGAAATCACATTATAATCATGGTAACAGACAACGGTCAAAAGTTGTTTGCCTCCACACGACAACACAGGTCCAGTCACAGGTCCGGGCATACAATCAAGGCAGCGCTACACAGTGGTTGGAGGCAGCAGAATATTATATGGCAAAATGGCTCCAGCATACAGCACATGTGTTAAAGCTGGGGTACCTGACCTTCAAACAACAAAAACAAAATCCATGTTTCTTTTCTTTTCTTCTTTTTCCATGTGTTTTTGGACTCTAAACAAAATTTAATAAGCAATGACCCATCCTTACTCAGACAATCACTCTTCACTTGTTCTTGTTATTCACTTGTTCTTATAATAAAAGGAAGACAACATGTTAGGGTCTGATTTGTTCGCAACGTTCTAATCTACCTTTACAAGACTTTTTCTGATGGGACATGTTAAAAAAAAGTTAGGTACTCCTGCTTTAACTTGATCCAATTTACAAATGTGATTTCTTGGTAGAATTTACTGCATAATGTTCATGTTGGAACAATGAAATGCTTTGAGAGGATGTGGATTTGCTGGTTCAAATTTCTGTCCCAAATGTCTTCTCCACAATGACCAATCAAGAGGCAGACAGGAAAGAAGCTGATTGGTTGAGGAAACATTTCAGGGACTTGGCCAATTAGGCTGATTAGGAGGGTTTCTACACTGAGCCAAGACTTCAGTCGATTCACCAAACACAGCAAGATCACTATTATATGTCACTGTCGTCACCGAACACGAAATATGGTTTTGTTTGACGGCAAGAGATGCTTTTCAGGTTTGACTGTAAAACTGGCTTTTTAACCATACTGCAAAATGATATCAACAGAAGCTTTTGCTGCAAGACTGTTAGGTATTGTTAGAATTTTGTAATGGAGCTTTAACAAAATGTCCTGCTCAGTTAGTGTTTTTTTTTCTTTGTAAAATGTTATTTTTATTTATTTTTTGCAGGCAGTGAATTGGACTTCAGCTCCTGGAGCAGCAGTGGCAGCGGCAGCCTCAAAGCCAGCCAGACAATCTCAAATTCCGTTGGGAAAAAAACTCCAACTCACAGGTATGACCCTAACTCTAACATCAGATTATTTGTATATGTTCTGTATTATTGTATATGTTCTGTATTATTTGTATATGTACTGTGGGCATGGGCCAACCATTTTTTTTCCCCCTCCCTTTTTCTTAGCCGGACCATTCGCATCAGACCACTGCCCATTTTTAAACCGGCTGGGAACACTGTTGAAAACCACGATGCCGAGCTCTATGCGCCCTATCGGACTCCCCCCAGAGTGTCCTCTTCTAACAGCAGCTGTAACTCCAGCCCTTCTGCGAGGTATCAGCTGCATTATTCATTCACTAAGAGAGAGTGTGCTGGAGGGTGAAATGCACACGTGAACAGTCTATTCAAGGGGTGCAGATTAGAATGATGAGGAATTCTGCTTTAGCAAATCTTCATTTAAAACAAAAATTTGGAATGTTCCATATACCAGGAATCTGTAATCCGCCTGTGTAGGTCTTTTGGGTAGAATGCAATTTTTAAATAGTTGGAGCTTTTCACAATGAAAAATAACTGACTCATAGCTTTGTTGTCATTAAATCTCCATGGTCAACTCTTCAATATACCCCATTTTCAATAGTTGCTACAGTCAATTCATGATGTTCCTGCTGTCTCGTGCCGGTGCAGCTCGGCACCATGTGATCCCACTCTCCCCCACTCACTCCTTCTGTTAGTTTTCTATTTCTGGCAGCAGTGCAGTGCAGGCTCTTCAAAGCTGCCTCTATCCAGGTTGGCAGAATATTATTCAGGACTGAAGAGGAGGGGGCAGACATTTAGTCTATTTTTCTTTGTCCAGTTTAATTTGATAAATGCGTTCAAGGCTTTATGACTGGCTCACATTTAGTCTGTGGTTCTGTGCTACATCTATTTGGTTACTGCTGATTGGAATCAGTTTTTCTCCTGTTATCTTTCATTTTGAAGGCCAGGTTAGTGTTTGGCTAAAATGTCACTAGTTTGGTTGTATTTTCATTGAAAAATATATAGACAAATGAATATATAGATTGTAAATTAACTTGTTATCCACAGAAGAACCACTCCGAGCTACTACCATTCATGTGGAGACAACCATGGCATCAGACCCCCATACCCAGAGCAGTACCTCACTCCGCTGCAACAGAAGGAAGTGGCAATCCGGCACCTCAAGACCAAACTACAAGAATCTGAAACCAGAGTTCGAGACCGGTGGGTGTGGGGATATTGAAACTAGCTTTTATATTTGGGTAAGACTGGCATTCAAGCTTATTGCATACTTTTTTGTGTGTGTCAGGGAGTCTGAAATTGAAGAGCTAAAGGGACAGCTGAGCAGGATGAGGGAAGACTGGATTGAAGAGGAGTGCCACCGGGTGGAGGCGCAGCTGTCCCTCAAAGAAGCCCGCAAAGAAATAAAGCAGCTACGTCAGGTGGTGGAGACCATGAAGAGCAGCCTGATGGAGAAGGACAAGGGCATCCAAAAATACTTTATCGACATCAATATTCAAAACCGAAAACTGGAGTCTCTTCTCCACAATATGGAGTTGGCCCAAAGTGGAAATGGCAGCCTCGACAATGAACAAACCTTGGACTTTATCTGTGAGGGCGGGAAGAAACTGTTGAGTGAGGGGGATGTTGAGATGGAGCATGGGGCAGAGGCCATGGCGGACAGTGGGTTGCTGGTCAATGATGAGATGGCCAACAGGGAGGACATTTTGGAGCAGGTATTTATGTCAACAGCTGTAGACTGCAGTCTTGATGGAAAGCTAAGAGTTGATGAACTGTCGGACACAACTCGAAGTGAGAAGATGGCTGGATATCCATCTACAACAGTAACACTATCTCAATGTGGACCCTGCCAAGATGACAAGCAGGTTCAGACCGAGCCAATGTGTTCCGATATCCATACTCTACTTCTCCAGCTGCTAAAGTTACATGGCGTAACATTTGATAAACCAGTCTCATTACCTTCAGAAAGCCTACAAGAAGTCACAACTGTCTGTCCACAAACGTCAAACATGACTATGAGCAAAAGCCCAGACGCCACCACAGATTCTGGAAATGTGTCTGCAGAATCGGCACAGAGCCCAAAGTTTATGGAAGAACTCGACTTTGGCCGCGGGAATAAGGAGCTATGCCCTAGACCTGAACTTAAAGTAGTTGAAAAGCGCTACTGGAGCAACAACTTCCTGGTCGACCTGGTAGCTGTGGCAGCCCCAGTTTTGCCCACAGTGGCCTGGATGTATTCGAGGCATGGGGTTGATGGAAGTGCACCCTTTCACAATATCGCTTCTCTGATCAGAGGCTGTTGCGTCATGGGATTGCACTCTCTTCGTCATGCATCAAACAGGCCTGGCAATTGAAGGATTCCCGCACGCACACACAAAAAGCACTTCTGCATCTTTGAGATTAATTGCATCACCCTCAATCTGCTGGTTATTTTTGAAGCCACTTTGCACTTGTCTTGTTTCCATTGGCAACTTGGTGATTATTTGTAAAGTTGTATTTATTTATGTATATGGTAATCATCTAGGCAGATGGTTGTGTGTTCCTATACTGTCCCTTATTTGTCACACGAAGTTGAGATGGGATATTTTCAAGGTGAATGTTTGTGTTGAAGTCTTCAATCGTCACTTTGTGTTTTGTTTAAAATGAAACCTTAAACCTTCAGCCAAAGCTTTAATGTCAAGTCACTTATTTTTGTGATAAGCGTGTATATATTTTTTTCATCACTGGGAATAGCTTTATTTTTTACCAGTGTATTGTTCATTGATGCTTCTACGTAGACACTATGTGCCTGAGCTACATGTGCAATACTGTTTAACAACAAATGTCTATTAAAGCATGATAAATATTACCAGTTTGTTACGTCTTTTTAGGTTGTGATGAACAAATAGGTTATAATTTAGTTTTTGTGATTACATAGTGTGCAAGGCCAAAAGCCCCACTTGGTAAGATATATTTAAGTGATTAGATTGAGTGAAGAATGATGGCTTTTGCTCATCTCATGCTCCGGCTAGAAAAATAGAACATTGCTTAATTTATTGATCATTGAAATCTTAATCATGAGGCTGTTTAGGTCTCTGAATATTACCTGAAACATTTTTAGCGCACCCCTACCTGTTACATTGAACTAGACCAAACAAGTTTACAATCTCACTCGTAGGAGCAAACCTATTTCCTGCTCTGCAAAACGTATCTAAATAGAATTGATTTTTTTTTTGTACTTTACCAAACGACACGATAGTATACTTGCAAATACTACCAACTCACCAACATTTATAACTTTTTTCTAGATTCAGTATTTCCTTGTGAAGTTTAAGATAATCTTTTGGTTGGCTAGAGTACAATGTTTTGTAGTTTCAATGATCATTGCATCAGAAAAGCATCAAGAATCCTGAGCCGAGGAAGAACATAGTGTAATATCAGGGTGGGGGCACACAAAAGGGCAGCAGCAGTCCTAATGACATCCAAGCCTTATCTGAACCAATCACTCACTTGATAAGCACATCTCTACGATAGGGTGATTGTAATTGCAAGTTACATAACATAGAAATTGTTGGAACTATACTTGGAAAAGAGACCTTTTATGATGTTTGGACAGTAGAATTTAGCACTTTTTTGATGCCAAAAAAGGTATTTTTGTAGTTTTTTTGCTGACAGGAGCTAGGTAACCAAAAATGTTATTAAATACAAAGCTATCTTGAATCTATCTGGTCAGTAATGACCACAAGATCTACATAAATATAAACTGAAAGCTGCGCCCACTTCACAGCTCCATTTGGGTGCATCTGACATTTGGTAAAGCTGAAACCCATTAATAATAAAATCATTGGTATACCAAAACAATTATTTTAATAATTACATTTAATACATTTCTTTGTTTTCTGTGGTGAAGACAAAGAAATCTTGGTTGCCCCCGAGTCTTGAGAATTTACAAATTACATTACCTGAATACAAACTTTATTATCCCAAAAGGTTGACATGGTATGTTTCCATACGATACATTGTACCAGAGTAATGAGCTTTAGCAACAATGTTGTACTGTAGAATGGAATAAAATTAATGTACTCCGGTGGAGAAAAGGGCAAGTCGGAACTTGTTGGATCGAACTTGTTGGTTTTCGAATAGTACAGTAACTTCAGATTGAGAATTTTGACTGTCCTCTGTCTCAAAGACTGAGCAGTTATTAAATGTTATGAGAGCTTAACAGCCATTTTCTGCTCTTTCTTCATCATCCTCTGCACCTCTTTCTCCATCTTCTTCTTCTGTTGCTCAATGTACCGCTTCTCCCGGTCAGCCATCTTTTGCTGTCTGCAGCAAAACAAAGTGTCATGAGTCACCAACATGAGCCTGATCAGCTGGAATGAGGGCTCAACATCTCTCTATTTGTGAGAGACACTGCCATCTGCTGGCCCATCTGAATATGACATGTTACCACCTTGGCCTCATGTACCAGAACTGATGAAACCACTTATGAGCAAGTGCATTAATCATTTCACAAGGCCAACATCTTATAATGTCCATTTTGAAATTTGCATTTACCTTAAGACCTCTTCAGCATCCCATGCAGCATCAGATTCTTCCTCCCAGGCATTTGCATCTCCCTGCCAATTGTCCATTTCTCCAAGCTCAGCCTGAAAGCAGCAATATTAAATTGTATTGTAAAATAATATTACATCAGGGCCAGTGAGAAGTTCATGCAAACACAACTTCTTGCTTAGGAGCAAGAGTGCAACTGTGCAATCTTATGACTCTTCTGCTTCGCTGCCAATCTGAACTTTTTGAAGATAACTTTTGTTCCGTCGGCTGTGGGACACTACAAATTATATGTCGAACCTGTGCTTGTTCTGAAAGTTACAAAGAATAGAAATAAAAAGTGCTAAAGTTTACCTGAGCACTTTTTATTTCTATTCTTTGTAACTTTCAGAACAATTTGTTTTTGTTAATGTACAGTGGGGCAAAAAAGTATTTAGTCAGCCACCGCTTGTGCAAGTTCTCCCACTTAAAATAATGACAGAGGTCTGTAATTTTCATCATAGGTACACTTCAACTGTGAGAGACAGAATGTGAAGAAAAAAAATCCAGGAATTCACATTGTAGGATTTTTAAAGAATGTATTTGTAAATTATGGTGTATTTAGTCAATAACAACAATTCAACTCAATACTTTGTAATATAACCTTTGTTGGCAATAAAAGAAGTCAAACGATTACTATAGGTCTTTACCAGGTTTGCACACACAGAAGCTGGTATTTTGGCCCATTCCTCCATGCAGATCTTCTCGAGAGCAGTGAACACAGACTTTCAACTCCCTCCACAGATTTTCAATGGGGTTGAGGTCTGGAGACTGGCTAGGCCACTCCAGGACTTTCAAATGCTTCTTACGGAGCCACTCCTTCGTTGCCCGGGCGGTGTGTTTGGGATCATTGTCATGCTCGAAGACCCAGCCACGTTTCATCTTCAAAGCTCTCACTGATGGAAGGAGGTTTTGGCTCAAAGTCTCACGATACATGGCCCCATTCATTCTTTCCTTCTGCTAAGGGGATCAGTCGTCCTGTCCCCTTAGCAGAAAAACATCCCCAAAGCATGATGTTTCCACCCCCATGCTTCACAGTAGGTATGGTGTTCTTGGGATGCAACTCAGTATTCTGAGTTGAGTTTATACCAAACAGTTCTACTTTGGTTTCATCTGACCACATGACATTCTCCCAATCCTCTGCTGTATCATCCATGTGCTCTCTGGCAAACTTCAGACGGGCCTGGACATGCACTGGCTTCAGCAGGGGGACACGTCTGGCACTGCAGGATTTGATTCCCTGTCGTCGTAGTGTGTGACTGATGGTAACCTTTGTTACTTTGGTCCCAGCTCTCTGCAGGTCATTCACCAGGTCCCCCCGTGTGGTTCCGGGATGTTTGATCACCGTTCTCATAATCCTTTTGACCCCACGGGATGAGATCTTGCGTGGGACCCAGATCGAGGGGTGAAAATTACAGACCTCTGTCATTATTTTAAGTGGAAGAACTTGCACAATTGGTGGCTGACTAAACACTTTTTTGCCCCACTGTAAGTATGATGGAATCAAAAGGTAAAGTATCCAACCATTAATCTATCTTGATCAGGCTTGTCCAAACATGTCATGTCTGTTTATGAAACTCAGGATCTCTCGAATCCAGTCGTTGACTTTGTTTGACTGTACTGACTTTTGCTTTTAATGATTGTATGGCACTAAGGGCCCGTCCCAATTCTCACCCTTGCTCTTAAAAAGCACCCTTGCCCGCAAAATCTAGGGCAAGGGTAGGGTGTCTCAATACTTAGGGAGAAGAGGCGAGGGCCCTCACACCCTTAAAACCATCCTCGTGCACAAGTGAGGTCCGGAGCTCACTTGCGCGCAAGTGTAATCTCATGATGCATTCTATAGTTGGTAAAGTAAAACAAATATAAAAGAAAACAACATGAAACAATCGGGCACAAGTTTGTGCAAGAAGTGAGGAAGCTCCAAAGCGTGCGTGGGTCATTCAGAGGGGATTGTTTTAAAGCGTGTTTTGGTGCTGTGTGTGGTGACGTTCGCTCGCGAAGCGGCCGCAGCTGGTTGAGTTCACTGTGGTGAAATCAGACACATCAATGTTGTGTGTGACGTGGAACATGTTTGCTGCGTCTATTTGCATATTGTCCCTTAGATCCATGGGTGTCCCATTTCTTAGGGAGAATATTCTGTTGAGGGCACTCACAACTCGGGCCTAACTGTATCTGGCAAGTAAACATTTGTCATTCAGCCAACTTCAGCGCCGTCATTGGTGAACCAATATAGAAATGTTGAACCTCATTTTAAAGCACCACACAGTCTGAATTTAGTCAATCCTTGTCAGACCCTGCAGAATTTTGGTGAAAACTTTGGTACCCCTGATCTAGATTTTTTGACCGATAAATAATAAACACAAAAAATAATACTTACTGAAGGAGGACTGAAAGACATCATGTCTTGAGACGCTGCGAGTCGGCTAGAGAAACCTGAAGAGCCATCAGGCACGAGGTAATTTGTAGGTTCCCTTTTCTTTAACACAATCTGCAACCATAAAAAATATTCAAAGAATGTTGCTTAAGTTGTACTCAAGTACCCAAGGAGACTGACCTTTTGTGTTTTCCTTATAGTTGGGGCCATGTCTTTGAAGTAGTCCGGCTCCTCATCTGGGTCATTAGCTGAAGGTGTAAGGTTTCCATTTCCACCTTCAATTTTGATACTGGTTGGAGCATCTTCATCCCAAGAGCTCCATTCTTCTATCTCAGGTTGTGCAGACTAGGTCAAAGAAAGCCTTAGTTAAGATGTCATTACAATCATATAAGAGTATATTACACATATAGCTATACAATTAGTAATAAATAATTCATCGGTTTTATTTAGCACCTTATTGGATCCTATCAGAAGTCTCACATGCCATTATTCATTCACTGGTGAAAAGCTTCTTGGGCAGAAATGAGGAAACCACTGACTCACAATACACACCAGACTGACACTTGGTAATGTGGGTGAGGTATCTTTCCTAAGCAATGCTTAGCTTCTGAGATCTGCCGGGATCAGTCTATCACATGCAGGTTGTGTCACAAACTAGTAACAACACAACAAGTAATACAAGTCATCCATTTACCAATTTGTCATTCTTCACCAACTAATGAGCGAATGTCTGACAGCTAAGGACTGTCTTTGATATTTTACTGCCAACAGTAGTTTTTATATTTTGAAAAAGACCCAGGCTTTTTAAATGTTTTGGTTTAAATTGATTTTGTTCGCTTTAACTACTAACATGTTAATTAACATGTTCTAACCTTAACAATAATATTGAATGCAATGTTAACTGACCTGACATCTTATCATAACCCATTCTTAAATGTAACTATTCCCCATTTCTAACCAACTATTGGTATTTTAACGTTATCATAAACTCACTAAAACTAGTCAATTACACATCAGAGGCAGTGGCCTTTGACTGATGTAAACGCTCAATAAAAGTCGATAATAATCTCTAAAAATTACAATACAAATTGTATAAATAAAAAAGAAAATGTTAAAACAACAAAAAATCCGTGAGAGTAGACACTTTTATTGAAGATTTGCCACACTGACCTGCTTTGGAACAGAAGAATAATCCACTGTTGTTGGGAGAGTTACCTGATCACCACTGAGCTTGCGCCCCCGTCCACTCCTAAAGATAATTAATAATAATGTAATACCTTGAAACTCTAAAATATCACTGTAGAATAATAACATTTTCAAGTGTGTGGTTTTCTTACCTGCATATAAGTTTTTTAAAGAAGGAAAGCAAGCTGGCTAGGAATGTGCAGATCTTGAAAAGGCGGAATTGTGTGATGGCCATGGCAAAGTTAGCTAGCTATAGGCTGGGAAATATGAAAGATATAATGAGACAAACAAATGTAATGTGTAAAGGCCAGTCAAAACATTCACAACAAACATCGTAGCACAAACAAACATTCTTTTTGAATGAACGAAGTCAGATAGTAGGATGTTTTTATTACTATATTATATAAAATGCAATGCTTTCATGGTTTTACCTTGAGATGTTACGCCGTAAGCAGAACAGCTGCTTTATCGTGCAGCAGGGTTCTCAAATTCATTTGAGCTTGATGCTAACCACTGTTTGCTAGCTTTGTCTAATAAGAATCATATTTTATCGTTTTTTTATTGTGTCCGTAGACTAAAATTAGATCTATTGGATGAGATAAATAATTAAGATGTGTATAAACCAGCACAGCTCACTGATAAATGTTTCAAAATTGTGTCGTCGCTCATCTGTATCCCTTAGCTGCCATCATAGAGGAGGAGCAGGCAGGAACAAGGAAGTGAAGCGGATCTGCTGCATTCACGTGCCGTGGGAGCTTCATGTGACGTGGGTTTAGACACTCCCATGGATATACAGTGTTAAGATGTTATTTCCAAAATTAAAATCGATCTTTATGTCTCATCAAATGTAAGCTGTTTTCAGTTTTGAGTCACAAATACAAATTCAATAAACACAACATGTTTAGCAAGAAAATACGACAGTAATATTTATTAGCAATATATAATTTACGGTGTACAAGTAATACCAATAACATGCCACTACTCGATTACTGCTTGAGTTGATAGTAAAGACTATAAACATGTTGCTAGCATAACAGATCCATGGTTGCTAGTTAGAAGTGAAAGCATCTATCCTGCCGTGAACTCCCACGGCCATCCAATCAGCATTCGAATTGAGCGGAAGTGGGATATTTGAAAACTACGCATTGAAAACTGTCTATGGTTGAAAGCCTTCAGCTTATTTACAGTCTGTGATTTTTCATCGCATAAAGAAAGAATCAAATTAAAGCAACGAGGTAGGGCAAATTTTGATCATACAATGTAGGAACGGCTTGTATGTATGTTGTACAATAATTAATCAAAGTGAAGCGAGCTACAGCCACAGGATTTACGAGATTAGCGCTAGCACCCAAATGCTATCATCGTTAGATCGTTATGTTAACTGTTTTCTCCGTTTTTGAACTTAGGGAAAAATAAACGATATACTTCAAAGTCTCCCAAAAACTCCGTGTATTATATTGTATCACAGCAGTTTATAACAACACGATACATTGTTACTAGCGTTAGTAGATGAAAGTAAACCGTAACTTGCTAACCCAAGCCCTGTCATATTCCCCCCCCCTCAATTTACATAATCCGAATGTTATTTTAAATGTGTATATATTTACTCTTGACAATCTCCTAAAATGATTATTTAGGATGGAGGAAGAGGAGCACACAGACAGACAACAACAACTTGCCATGCTTTTTCAAACGCTGAACAAATATAAGAAGGATCTTCACGATGGTACGTATTCGTTATAGTTTTCCAGTGATAATAAGGTATAAATGTATAATGATTTGTTAATCATAATGACTATTTTCATTTTGCAGATGATACTGACAATATAAATCAGATAATTGGGTCAAATTCGCCTGAAATTTGCCTGTCATATCTGACAAATTTGGAAAAGAAGGCAGATCCTCATGTGGCTTGTAGTCATCTAACTAAACTTCTAGACTTCTATACAAGAGTATTTTCTATGCTACCACTTGGGAAACACGGTCATAACGAAAGCTATGCCAAGATGTTGGTCAGATTTGCCGAGCTCAAAGCGTAAGTTGTTGCAAAGTAGATACGTTTATTTAGAAGAATAACTCAACGTAATTGTGTTTCTTTCTAGAATTCAGGACGTCAATGAAGCAGAGGATCATTTCAATGTGGCAAGATCTCACAGTCAGAGCTTTGCCTTTGTGCATATTTCCCATGCAAAGTTTGCGCTTTCTCAAGGTAAATGCTTGTGCTTTGATATATTAGTTTATTCAATTATGTTCATTGTTTGAGTGACAACTGCGACTATACTAGAAAACACAAAGAGGGCCATTTATATTCTTCAAAGTGCCATTGAAGTCGGTGCTAAACCAAAGGAGGTGCTTGAGGATGAATTGCAGAGGATACAAACTGAGAAAATGCAGCACTCAAATCTGGAAGGTAAAGATAATTCACAATATTGGTATTTTAAACATATTTAACAGAAGATAGTTTTATACTAGTGAGTGATGTTTACTGATAATGTCATCTTTTTTTCCAGTCTTGTCAAGCACTGTTAAGAAAGGATCAGACTTCAGTAAATTTAGCCGAATATCAGATGGTACAGGAGAATTACAAATGTCTAGTAATTTGGGTGTGAGGTAAGACTAAGTTGGAGAATCGTATCCTTTCAAAATATGAGATAATTGCTGATATCCCCCTCCTCAGAACTGAAGCATCCATTGGGTCGGATGAAAAAGTGCCTCTTTGGAGGTCTGCATCTCAACGCAAGAGACTTGTTGGCTTGGTAATTGGATCTTGATTTTGAAATACACAATAGGTCAACTGATGTATATGGATTTATATTGGTCTTAACATCCAATTGATATTGATCATTTATTTTATTAAATGAAGAACCTAATAAGTGGTAGGCAGTGTTTCATTCATGCAATTTCTCACTATACCATTGCCATAGTCAAATTCACCTGCCATGCCTTTTTAGTATATATTTTTTTTAAATCAGCCTTGAAATTAGCCATTATATAGTGTCTCCCAGTCAAAAATCTGCATTGGTTTCTGGTAAAACACAGCATGTAAAGCTCAATGTATTTTCATTATATTCCATGCAGACACAGAGAGTTGCAGTCGTTCCCTTTCCTATTCCAGAAAATGGTGACAATTACTTTGGGGCAAAATCTTCAGTTGGTGCCCAAAGTATGTCTAGGTATGTTTTGTGACCTCAAATTCATACATTTCCACAAATGTGTTTATCTGCACAAAATGTGACCTTAATGAATAACTGCAGAGGCTTTGCTTTGTTTTAGATTTCCGTCGGGCTCCAATGTGATAAGTGTGTCTGGACTGTCTTCTACCAAAAAAAATCCTACAAATGGGGATCCTGTCACTTTCCAAGTAAGTTTAGAGCTCTCCTTTCTTTGGCTGTGATGTTCCCAAACCACACAGTCACAGACCCAACAAGCAAGCTTTCAATGGTGCAGCGCTAAAAGTCAAGCAGAATTTTAGAGTTTATGGTAAATTCTTTAAGTTTCAGCGGGTCTACCCGCTGACGAGCTTAACAACCTGGTTAGTGTTTTTGGGCCATTTCAGGTCGTTAGACAGAGTTAAACTGAGAAACCTCTGCAATCTGCACATGGGAGTTATCAATAACAGCCGTGTATGAACTGTTACGGCTAAAGTCAAAGACTTGTTCACACGTTTTTGATGTGTTCCGCTGGAGGTTGTTATCTTTACTCCACTGAACAACATTTTGGATTTCTGCTCTTTAAGAAGATTCATTGTTGTCACTGATGAATCAATGATGGTGGTGTCATCACCGTATTTATTGATCAAGTTAGAGTTGGAGAAAGACTCACAATCATGAGTGTACAATGTAAAAAGCAGAGGATTCAAATACATCCCTGAGGAGATCCGGTGCTCACAGAAACATCTGAAAAACTGTCATTGTTAAATAACTGAAAATCCACTTGCACATGGACTCACTTATATCGAGAGACATACGTTTTTCACTCAGTTTACCTGAGACAAGGCAATTAACATTTAATTGCCAGAGCTATAATCAATGAACCAATGTCGCAAGAATACCAATGTATTCTTCTAGATTTACTATTGTCCAAGTGACTGTAGACAGAGTTCATAATAGGAGTATTAATTAATCGAGTAATTGGTTAATTCTAAAGAACGAATTAATTCATTGAAGGAATATTTAGATGTCTGGAATTCAACTCCAAATTTCAAAATGTGAATATGAGATAAATATTTTTTGTTCAGTCTGCTCAAAGTCCAGATTCCTGCGACGGCCAAATTGACTCTACACCAACTCTTCTTAACACAAGAGCCGCATCGCGGATGGAAGGTATTCTGTGGCATTTCCTGATTTGGATTGATAAAGTTAATTCAATGTATTGATGCATTAAACCTTGTTTTTTTCTTATCAGATGCAACATTCAACATTGAGGAGATTGTCAACACAAAATCGCCCGAAGCATGTCTGAGCTTCCTCAAGAATCTAGAGACGATGGGAAACCCACAAACGGACACTGTTCTTAACAAAATAAAGGACTGTTACTCAAAGATATTTGCCAAGATGCCGATCAGACAATTCAGCAAAAGTCCAAGCTATGCTAAAATATTGGTTCGATATGCAGAACTGAAAAGGCATGTGTTCTTGGAAAATATACTTTTATACAAAGACTCCAGGAGAATAATCGGTAGAAACTAAAATGATTTTTTTATTTTGTAGTATTGAAGACCCAGATGACGCACGAGACCATTTCATTGTTGCAAGATCAAACTGTAAAGCTTTGGCTTTTGTGCACATTGCTTATGCTCAGTTTGAAGTTTCCCAAGGTAGTGTATCTCTTCTATGAGTTACAATGAGATAAGATGGACTTCATTGATCTCACACTGGAGAAATGTACTTGTTCTGATGTAGCATCGTATAATGTATACATTGTTTTCTTTTCTATTTAAGGTAATATTATGAAGGCAAGTTCTATTCTTAACAAAGCTCTGGTGTTAAATGCCAGACCAACTGAGCTTTTAGATTTAGCACTTTGTAATCTCAAAGGTGGACAACAGCAGCTGATACCCAACAAGGACGATCAGTTAAAGGGTGAGAATCTTTGTTTGAAATGTAAAGTAGATGGATTATTGCATTGGATTTTGTTTACCTTACTGTTTAACCTTGATTAGACCGCCAAGAAAATACTGTTTCTCATGTGGCAAAAGAAAACATACCTCCACAGCGAGTCCCAGTCAATCGTAAAGTAGAACTGCCAACAATTGCCACTAAGGACTCTGCTCCTGAGTGGAAAGTCCCTCAGGTGATTCGGCAGGTGCCACCTGTGGTATGTATTGATCTTTTGCCGCTAACTGTATACTAATTTAAAGATTATGTAGTATAACTTTTGCTTTGTAGGATGAACGGGATAGTCCGCCTGACCCGAGGCTACAACCTGAGCCCCTGGCCTCAGTCCCCACTCCATCTTTTCAGCCTACTCCCAGGTCTAACGTACAAAGTGTCTTTCAGACACCCAACAATTATAGAAATCCTTTCCCAAATAGGTAAAGATATTTGTAATTAGAAGTCAAGTAAACTTTAAACTATTTTGAAATACATTTTTTACCTTTCAAATTGCTGTTTCCTCTAGCTGTATTACCCCTGTTGTGAAGACGTCCACCAGAGAATCTTCCTACGCAGCATCAAAAAACACAGTCACATCTATGCAGCAGTCTACCCCACAAAACAAAGTCTGTTTCCAAACTCCACAGGTGATAAATCTTCCTTTCCCCTTTTAAAACATAGAATTTAATAGACTTTGTACTTGTTCTGTTCTGTCAATAATAATGGTTTTGATTTGGTGTAAGTTCAGATTTACTTTGTGTGAACTGAGTTTTCAGTTGCTGAAAAGATGTTCAGTTGTGTATCATGGCAACTCTGGTCCAGAGTAACTTCAGGGTCAAAGGAGGAGAAACCAGAGCGGGCCAATCATGTGCACAACATTTAATACATATAAGGCGTGTCATATGAAAGAATCCATTTCAAGCTGCCTGATTGACTTTGAGGCACAATAGTGTTAAGGTTTGGAAGTAGAGTGTCGTTATTTTGGTTACTGATTCAGGTTGTTGTACTTCATTCGTAAAAGTTTCCACATTCTTTTTGCGTTTTGATTGAACCTGAATTTTTTGACATTAATAAATCATATGGACGCATTGTACGCATTCACACTGATTTTTTTTGTCACCTTTCTCTGCGCTTTGGCAGCTAACACGCTCCAGGCTACACCTCAAACTGTCCAAGCTCCAACACTGCTGCTGGAGAAACACTCACTAGAGTCTATCAAATATAGTTGTATATTTTACTCTAATCTACTGAAATAATCCTGGTACATTTCTGTTTCAAACTGCCTACGTCAAGCAATTGTTTGACCGTCTTAAAATGACAGTGGCTGCTACTAGGTCAAATGTCTTAATGCAAATTTTTCTGTTCTTCAGCCTTCAATACCAACCATATCAAATGACTCCATTACTATCAAGGGCAAACAATTCTTCATTCTAAAAATAATTGGCCGTGGTGGATCGAGCAAGGTAAAATATTCTTTTTTGCCATTCTAATCATAACACACACAAATATCTTTGTTGTCTCCAGGTTTACCAGGTTCTTGATCAAAAAAAGCAGTTGTTTGCTGTGAAATATGTGGACTTGGAAGACGCTGATCCACAGACTGTGGAAAGTTACAAAAATGAAATTGAACACTTGAACCAATTACAGCAATACAGCGATCAAATTATAAAACTTTATGATTAGTAAGTCTAAGGATGCTATGTACATGTTTTGTTTCCCCTTTCCCCTAATTGCCTTTCTTTCACCAGTGAAATAACCAATGGCTACATCTACATGCTGATGGAGTGTGGAAACCTCGATCTCAACACATGGTTACGAAACCGAAAATCTGTTAATCCTTTGGAAAGAAAGTTCTACTGGAAGAACATGCTGGAGGCCGTGCAAACAATTCACAAACATGGTAATTCACTTCAAACAGCAGACGGTCATTACAATTTGAATGAAATCTTTTTGGGATTTTACAGGTATTGTACACAGTGACTTGAAACCAGCTAATTTTGTCATTGTGAATGGGTCATTAAAGCTGATTGACTTTGGAATTGCCAACAAAATCCAACCTGATGTAACAAGCATCATGAAGGACTCCCAAGTAAGAACAAACATATTCTTGTTTGTGCCCTGAAGGATCCAATGCCAATAAGATGTTCTTTAAAGTATATCTTATCTTATTGTCACAGGTAGGAACACTGAACTACATGCCTCCTGAAGCCATCAAGGACACTTCATCTCAAGGGAAGGCCCGTTCAAAGGTAATAGTCCTTCAGGAGCTGGAGATTTGTTGGATTAATTTATGTAACATAGACAAAAGTTGGAGCCCTATGATCAAAAACCGAAAAAAGTGGAGAGAACTTTGGATTATTGCATCAAATCAAAATGTGCAAGTGCAAAATATTTGTTACAAAAAGGTTTTCCTCTTTAGTATTATTAGGCTACTAATGTAAAATAATTCAAGGAAATTAAGTTATTGGAAAACTCTGTAATTGTTTTATTTTTGTTTCCACTTTACAATCTAAAACAGATCAGCCCTAAAGGAGATGTGTGGTCACTTGGTTGCATCCTGTATTGTATGACCTATGGGAAGACACCGTTCCAAAGTATCACTAATCAGATTGCAAAGCTGCAGGCCATCATCGATACATCTCATAAGATCGACTTTCCGGACATATCAGAGCACGACTTACTGGATGTGTTAAAGGTAAGAATATCCATTTTAAGATCTTGCAACATGTTGTGCTCTTTTCCTAATATGCCCCTTCCTCCTAAAACAGAGGTGTTTGGTAAGAAATCCCAGAGAGAGAATTTCTATTGCAGAACTCTTGGAGCATCCTTACCTTCAATTAAAGCCACATGCTTCACCTGTGCCTGGTAATCTCCAAACCAATTCAAATGATTTCATTACATTTGTAAGCACTTTCCAAAGGTTTTGTTTCCTGTTTTTACTTGTTTCCAGAGCGGCCATGTAATCCTGATCTCCAGAAAATCCTTACAGATCTTTCAGCTCTGCATTCTCCAAACAGCATTGTCCGGGCTGCAAATGTAAGATCATATATGAAGTATTCTATATCAGTGTTATCTAAAAAAAGCACGATACCAGTAGTCCAAGTACTTATCGACTGATGCCTGGATTTGGAGCTTTTGCTTGTACCTGCAGCGGAAAGTCCCCAAGAAAAATGATGCTTGCATTTGTAAAGTCTCTCAAAACTCTGCACTGAAGTGGGCCCAGTCTTGCAATAATTCTTTTGATAGATCTGGGGTCTGAAGACAGCTGCTCTCACTTCTATATGAAAGGTCCTTTGTGTAAAATGGTGTCATTTATTTACATTTGTATTCTTTCTCCAGAATCTTGCTCGAATGTGCAGTAGTGGAAGAAAACTGGATGTTGCAGAATGTGCAAAGTCGTCAACCTGAAAACATGACGCGTACATTTATTTGAAAATGATTGTAAAAACAAGTAAAATTCACACACTTCTCTATGTATATAGTTATTTTTTAGAGATACTCCTATTTCTAAAAAATGCATGTTCCTCATTTGTCAATGAGTGTCTTTATTCTGATCATATGAAGTTGCTAATTGATTTTAAAACAGTGCTTCCTACAGTTTTACTTTGAATCCCTATGTTATCTATTTGTATGGCAACAAAACTATCCTTCCTCCTTTCATTAGAAATTCAATAGTTTGGATATTGTAACAGGAAATGTATCATGTTTTGGGTGGTATTTCATACCCTATCATATTGTTTGTTAGTTTGATATGTTGGAATATTGACTGGGAGGTTGTCCGGATGTTCCTTGACCTGTGGACATTCCTGGTTTTTATAGTCCGATCCTGAGAACAAAGCACTTGTTTTGTTACTCATTTTGGAGAAGAAAGTTACAGTTTGAAATCAAAACATGTATGTGCAATCTATCTCATTGGTTGTCCACTTTTTCTTCATAAATTGGATGCCATAATTTTGCAGGATGGTCAAAATTGAAACCTGGGTCAGATAATATCAAGTGGAAACAAATGTAACAAAAAAACTACTTCAGTCCATGATAACACAAATGGGAGACTCTTTAGGCTCATTCTAATTTGTTTTGATTTTGCCTTTAGAGCCAAAACTGCAAATGTTATACTGTCCATGTATCATTATTGTGCAATTAATAAACCTTCACAATTGTTTTCAGTGTAAGGTTATTTTCAGTTGGTGTGAACTTTGAAGGAAAGTACCTTCAGAGCTACAAAAACACACGGTTGGTAAGACGAAACCAAAAGTGAATTTATAGGAACGGCCCTCATTAGAGAGCTGCTCCTGGACCCGGAAGTGCTTTAACAATAAACAAACGTACAGTTATAGCCTATGTAAGCGGTAATATGGTACTTAAGTGATGAATATTTATACAAAGTTAAAACTTTCACAATGCCTGCCTTCCTTTAATCTGGAAACAGACAAACAGAACCAAGGGCAACATTATTTTTAACTCGATCATTCAGTACGGGCCCAAATAATGGTTCCCAACGCCCTCATCTAGAACCAATCGCTGTGCTAGCGGCTGACAAAGATTTAAAGACACGAGGTCCCACTTTGTCTAGTTTCGAATCAAGCTGTTGGCAAACATCAAAGACATAACAAAAGCAAAAAAGGCCTGTGTACCTTCTTTAGTCTGACTGATAATGTCATAAGGATAATAGACAATATTAGACATTACACCATAAAGTTGTCATTGCTCTATAGACAATCTCTGCATCTCCGTGTGCGTCGTCCTTCCTGTCCTGCTTCAGTCACAACAATGATGGCGGCGGCTGCACGGCTCTTCGTCCGCAGTACAAACCCAAGACTGGGGCAGGTTGTCAGTGGAGGTCTGCTGAGCTCTTTATCCCGAACACAAACGCAAAAAAGAAACTTAGCGCACTTTACCTATCAACCCGACCCTGTCCCAACACAATATGGTAAGTTCATGGAGTCGCCGTTGTGGAGGGCATTCTACCTCTCTCAATCTCTTGAGTTAATTGTGCAAATGTGTGGAATAACCTATCAATCTACGAGTATAATATATAACTACGTGATCATGAAAATTACTTTGTTTTACTGTATTTGGTAAAACATGTTTGTTTTGTGTAGTACCCTTGAGATCGAATTATTCATGACTGCGCATGCTTGGTGTGTGTTGTTTTAAGTGCGTATGATAGGCTAGACTTTTCACCGTGTTCACGCCGTCAACATAATTGCATTTAAGATTCCAAGCATACGAATGATATCTCTGTTTGACATATACATTTACTTCCTGTTTTTGAGACGTCGCGCTCGGGATGTTACCTAGCAACCACGTAACACGCTAAAAATCCCCTTTATGGAGCGAGCTACATGAGGACTTTCATTAGTCTATGGGACTTTCCCTCTAACTTTCCATTTTCTTCCGCTCTATCCATTGCTGTGTTCAATGATTGCTACTACTGGTCCTCCACACACTTAGTCATCTTAGAAAAATCTGAGTCATAAGATAATGATAATGAGCTTGCATTGTTTCAGTCTCAAACTTATTGATTGCACTTTGTTTAGGACCCACCCAGAAGATGAACCTGTTTCAGTCAGTTACAAGTGCCTTGGATAATACTCTGGCGGATGATCCAACAGCAGGTAATAGTAATGTCTTCTTTGAATTTGCTAGAAATCTTAGAGCGCATATGGTCCATAGTACATGTTTTGTTAACTAGGATCAAATCTTATCCTTATACAGTCATATCATTTCTGTAAAAAAAAAAAAAAAAAAAAAAAAGTTTTGTTCTGCATATGTCTGTCAGGAATGAACCAGACAGAGACGGATCGTGGTGTGCCAAACTCTGGAAGTTTATTTTGGTTTCTTTCAAGTTCCAGTGGTTTCTGATGTTTCTTTCTCTCAGACAGAATAAAGGCAGTACACAGTTTATATAGTCATTGTCACGTCACACATCGAAAGACATACGTGTTACACAGAGACAGTCACGAGTATCATAGTCAAAACATGGATGCATCAGAGTCCTTGTAGAGTCTTGTGCTTGTCCTGCACGTAGGCCAAATCGCTATCTAATCCTCACATGTCTTTGTTTTTTTAGTGATCTTTGGTGAAGATGTTGCCTTTGGTGGAGTCTTCAGATGCACAGTCGGCCTGAGGGACAAATATGGTATGTTGGTTTTCTTTGATCGTATAAAGTATTTATGCTCATCCCCTAGCAGTAAGAAGCAGATCTAAATCAGTGTTTTTCAACCATTGAGATATTGTTTTTTGGGCCTTTAGTAAATTATTAAATATCACCCCAATTTTATTTTATTTTTTCTGGATAAGAATAATGTCAGCCGTTAATATTTATTTGTTTTACTTTGTTTAATGACACATTCTTAGCAGTTCCAATCAACATGTTCCCAAGTTATTTGGCTTTTTCTGGAGTCGTTTTGCACCCTTGGAAGTCTGAACCAGAATGTTTTTGTGTGTGACAATTGTGGCCATTTAAATACATCAATAGTCCAATTTCAGTTTAATGTTCTTGGCTATCAAAAGATTCTATTAAAATTTTTGCTTTTTTGTTTAAAGACATAGTAAGTTGTGTGTATGTAAACTTCTTAATGAGAAAAATTACCTTCTCATTACTGTGACAGTCAGAAAATAGACTTAGAAGAATATCTTGACTTAAAAATGTTCGTCAGTCATGTTTTCACATGTTACAAGTCACAATGTCTGCAAAAAGTCCTTGAACAAGCGTATGAACATTTCCAGTAATATTATAATTGTACAATATTATTTGATAGACCGGGTAGTCCCTCCCCTTGGCATAACCAGCAGCAGTATGATTTTGGAGTAGACCAGGTAAATGAATAGGGGTTTAAGCATCGTTACAGTGCTATTTGGCCTTCATACGCTTGCCCAGAGTAGTTTTTTTCATTCCTTTTACCTTTAGGCCTATTTAGACGGAGACGCAACAGCATATTCACTTCCTCAACAACATCCTCCTCGGGCCACCGCAAAGACGTGAAAGAATGCACCAACATCATTTGGCATTTAACAGCAGCTGCGAAAATGGAAACTGAAACAAGAGCTTCGTTTGGACTGAGAAAGAAGTAGAATTCTCCACCTTGTAGCGCTCAAAGCACACCTACTTAGTTAGTGTATCCGCCGGGCTGCTGCCATTTTTTTCATTTGTTCTCTACTAGTGTGCATGTCAAAATGTAAATGCGTGAGGTCATAGCATCAGAGAATTCACACCTTTTTCTTCACGCGGCTTTGAAACAGCCCCCCGCTGAGTAGAGTATCTGTTCTGCTCAACTCTGGAGGCTGTTTCTCTGAAACACCGTCTCCATGTAAACAGGAGGCCAAACTGATATCCATCTAACGTTTTATTGTCACAGCGTCTCAATTGGGCCATAGTTAGAGAGCAATCTTTCTCTTTCATCCTCGAGAGGCACAGAAACGACCTGATTCACAAAACAGGGAATCAGCGCACAGACTCAGCATATGGACCTGTTACCACAGTCTGTTCGCTTCCATGCTGTTTTTCTGTTATTGCAATAGAATCATGTCAACTTGGGTGTAATGTGTTTTTGGGTGTAACCATGTGAATTTGACCCGAAGACGAAGAATGCGCGAGTGTAGCTGGACAATCTGCCTTTGAAATCTACAATGAATTTGCAATTCAGCACGCACAACCTTTGACAGCATATGGACTCGCACTGTGTTCGCTTCGATGCTGTTTTTCTGATGTTAACAGCAACTAAAAGTGTTAGCATCATTTCAATTTGGAGAAAGTTTTGAGAGTTGTATGGTGTATCACCCAAATTATTATCACACGTGTGCTTAGTATGGACTGTGAAAAATTACAAAAAGCGAAATATAGGAGCTTTAAACAATACATGTTATGCAATATGAACTTTATTATTTGTTTTAAACTCGTTGGAAGAGTGTTCCCAAGACAATTTTATACAAGTAAACATGTGTATCCAACAAAAATAATGCTCCAGCTCTGAAAGTAACCAACGAATGCATGTTTGAAGCTCACTGTATGTTACATAAAAAAGTCAGATTAGCTCCTTGAAATGTGTCTACTGCAATGACCACTAGATGGCAGCAACGCTTTTCATGAAACTGCTTTCTACATGAAAAAACTACATGAAAAAATGCAATAAGGGTAAGGCACAATCAAACTTTTAACTTTCACAGTATCTAACTTGCAGCATCCTTTTCTTGGTCAACTAACACTGTAATTTTCATAAAGAATAAATTGAAAGCTCTTTTGAAGTACTGGCAAAAGCAGACTGGGCAGATCCACCTCAAATCCATCTTATTGTTTTTATTGACGTCAGAAGAGTTGACCTTTTGAAGAAAGATCATTTTTTTCCATCTCATCCAGTACAGTGACGACCGTAAATCTGTTTCTACCCCCCTTCCTCCATGAGGCCTGTCACAATAATTATTCTTACAACATGTTGTCTAATAAATGATATTGTTGCCTATCCAACGTTGGTTAATGTAATCTTATCGCCATATGGCATGAATTTCTTATGCCTACAACTAAACATGTCAAATTTATATAGAAACTACAACTCCAGTCTTCGTATTTTTTCAATACTTATTCAATCAACGCATATTTATGAATGTCTTTGCCTCTCTCTTTTCCATGCTTTGACTCATAAGTCTTTGAACACACACACACACAGTAGTAATATTCACAATTCCATTTACTGCAGCTGCATATTTGAGGTTGTCTTTATAGTCTGTGAGACAGTGCACTTAATTTTGATCACTTAATTGTTCATTGCTGTAAGGGATTTTGGGAATAATATAATTGCTAATTGAACTTTGTGAGGACAGGACACGTAAGGGCAACTTTAAAGCATAGTTCCCTGTAGACCAAAAAAAGCAGTTTGGACAAATTTGCAAAAGGCAAAAATAACATCCATAGCCCAAATTTAGTCTATTACCACAGATGGTGGCTTTTTCAGATTACAGGGTGCGTTTTTTGTGCTTTTGCTTCTTGGAACAAAGATGTAGTCCTCTACAACTCAGTGTGTCACTCTGGGTATTTCTCAAGCCTCCTTTTGGAGCACAAGATCAATTCAATTTAATTATTTAAACTTTACCAATATTTTGCTTGTGAACTCTTTGAAATTATATAATTAATTAATATTGAGTAACAGACATCTAGTGATCTGATGATACCATACAATACACTTTTTTCTTGTATAGCTCTAAATCACAACAGTAGTCATCTCAGAGGACTTAACAAAACCATTGAAATCACCAACACCAATTAGAGAATCTTCAGTTAAGACACAAAAAGAATACAGAACACATGTTGATAAATGTCCATACATGTTGTAGAATGTTTAAAGTGTCCTGGATCATCACCACAGTCCTTTTTGTAGGACACTATCTGTTCAACAGACCCTCCTGCATCGGCAAGCTCAAAACTCAATGTCATCTTATTGTATGTATTCATGTGTGCGTGTAAATGTTTTCTAATGGGACATATTCAAACAATCCTATAACTTTACCTGTGTATCTTTTAGGTAAAGATCGAGTGTTCAATACCCCCCTCTGTGAGCAAGGCATTGTTGGATTCGGGATTGGAGCTGCTGTCGCTGGTGCTACTGCTATTGCAGAGATCCAATTTGCTGATTACATTTACCCAGCATTTGATCAGGTAGTGTAAAATCAATTTGTGATACATGAATTAGAAAGGGCAGCACCTTGTCCATGTTCTAGAATAAATCCAATTATTTTATTTTAGATGGGGTGAAAAAGATTACAAACTTGTTTTAATTGTAAGAATTACATTCTGGTATACAGTACTGTTCTTTCATCTTTCTTGTGAAAGTGAACCAAATAAACTGACTTAAAAACAACAGGAAAGTTTTCATAACGTAAACCGGTTGAATCTGTATACTAATAAATTTGTGTAATACACATATAACATATCAATTTATTTGTTTTCCAATTATACTATATCCCAGTACAAGATAAATGGCAAAAATGATTAATCAAATTAGTCGAATGTTTCAATTACAAATAGCTTTGATCACAATTTACTTATTTTAGCATTGAGAAGACCAGGTTCACAAAACACAAGTAGACAAATGGAGGCTCACCTTGGAACCAATGCTGCAGTTTGTAGACAGGCAATGTTTTTTTAACCCAGAAGCTACTATATTTCTTTCACTATCAATCATCATTTCTATGAAACCTATTTAATAAACATGTAATTAAGATGATGGATGATAAATTATTGATTTAATAGTCAATAGCTGCTGGCCGAGCAAGCTTTGTTTTGTGTGTAAAACATGTTCTACATTTCTACAATAGACTAGAATGATGCAAACACTATCATATACCTAATTTAATATTGTCGTCTCATCCATATATATATATATATATATATATATATATCTTTGTGCTATGTCAAGGTAACACTAAACTTACAATGTAATAATGGTCCATTTTTTGTACAAGCACTAGATTGAGTGCCATGCCGTGAGTAAGCTTCCTCACACCATCACACTTAAATTGGTGCCGTCTAAACTAACAGAACCAACAGCCCACCTGAGTGTATATGGTTTTTGAGGAAACGCTGTAATTGTCTTAAAAGTAGTTAAAGATTGCAGACACTTAGAATGACCATAAAAATGGAAGCCAGTATGTGAGCATGATTCAAATGACTTCACCAGTGTTTTCTCATAAAAGTTATGTCTTGTTACGTAAGTGTTCTTTCATTTTCCATATTTTTTTATTCTTTAGATAGTCAACGAAGCAGCAAAGTACAGATACCGCTCTGGAAACCTGTTTGACTGTGGAAACCTCACAATCCGTGCTCCTTGGGGCTGCGTTGGACACGGCTCTCTCTACCATTCTCAGAGCCCAGAGGCGTTCTTTGCTCACTGCCCAGGCATCAAGGTATGAGTTTCAAACTCTGCTTATGCTAATCTCAAAGATACAATCTAATGAATTTTGTTTGGTGAGAAATCCTGAACACTAGTTCAGGAAATCAGTTTCCAGACAGTTTTTTTAGTTTTCATTTTATTTTTCTAGATCAATAAAGTCTGTCTAAGTCTAGTAACTACATGTTTGAAGTTTCAAACACCTACTTAACAGGAAATTCAGGACTTTTTTGGCTTAATAAAGTTAAGATAAGAGATGAACAGTCTTCCTGAAAATGTGAGATAGGCCTCTTCTCTGCCAATGTTTAAATCCAGGTTAAAAACTGTTATTTTTTAGCTGTGCATACACCTTTTTTCTTTACTCTTTGTACGATGATTATTTTGATTGATTGTAATGCCTTGTCTCTATCTTGTTTTGTTCAGCACTTTGAGTTGCCGTGTGTATGAATTGTGCTGTACAAATAAACCTGCCTCGCTTAATTTAACAATAAACCAAAATTATTAAATGCATGTTTTAATATTATGAAACATGACAGTACAACGTCTCTAATATTTCTAAATGTATAGCCTTCACTCAAATGCATACTTTCAGAAACACAGACTAAATAGATACTTTATTGATCTTTCAAGGGGAAATTCCTACTATTATAGCCACACTGTTTTCCCTTTTGAATAACTAGTGAGAAAAGCAAAGTGCATGTTGTCTGTCAGTAAAGGTCAGGCTGATAAACGGTAATCTTTATGCATGTTATCAGTCTAGTTTGTGGTCTTTCCCACCACGCACTGTGGCGAGCATATTTCAACTGTGCCCTACTTTCCTTAATATCCAAAATTATATTATAATATCATGACTGTAATGCAAGAAATAAAAAAGGGTTATGGCATTACAGTAAGTGCCCCTAACACTTGGGATGCATAATTGTTGTTGGTTATTTGTTTTAAAATGGAAAGTGTATTTATTGCGGGTTTTTGAAATGTCTTTATTTAGATCGTCATACCTCGTGGACCAGTTCAGGCTAAAGGACTGCTGCTCTCCTGCATCAAAGACAAAAACCCATGTATATTCTTCGAACCCAAGATACTTTACAGAGCGGCAGGTGAGAAATGCCACAATAGTCTACCAGGTTCTTTGGATACTCTGGTGATCTCTGATTTTGAGTGAGAGATCACCCGTTAACAATGATTTCATTTTAAACAAAGAAAAGGTAGAGCCCTGAAACAACTACTATAATCATTAACAAAAAATAGAACAAAAAGATGTAAGAAAAATGTTGGCGAATAATATGAATTTTATCTCAATAAATATAAGTCTGCTGCCTCAGTGGATATAATCTAAAACATCTTGAAATAGTACCTGTTGAACTCTTAAGTAAAGTGTGAGTTGTCAGATTTAGCTTTGTCGGTTCTGTTCCAAGCTGATTTTAACCATAAAACCATATAGTTACACTTTGTCTTGGACTGTGGTTCAAAGGTGTGTGGACTGTGAACGTTTTCCCCTTAGAGTCTAATTTATGTTGCCTTTTTATACTAACGACCCATTCCACTTATGTTTATTTTTGAGATTAAGCACATTGTGGGCTTGGAGCTGGCGAGGGATCTGATTAGATCATGCATTTGAAAATGCTAAAAATCTTTCTGCTCTAGGTGAGGCAGTTTAGTGAGAGAAATGTCGTTTCTGAGGAAAGGTGGATTGTACTTCATTTTCTTTATCTCTTGAAAAAAAACTATCTTTTTGTATCATGTGCATGTTTTTAAGTTGTAAAATATGTTATATTTTGTCAAACTAGTATCACTACCTCCTTATGTATGGATAAATTGAAAAGAAGTTGCAGGACTCTATATTAATCAAATACAAAACTCGCTGAAGCACTTACTCTTGCTAGAATTAACTGGGATTCAATCATGATGTATTTTCTTGTATAACAACAGACCCATGGCTGAGTTTCTCCATTGAAATATTATATATATCTCAATAGTTTTATTTACAGCATATTTCCACTTTGTGTCTCAGTGGAGCAGGTTCCTGTGGACGCGTACACCATTCCACTGTCACAGGCCGAGGTGCTTCAGGAGGGAAGTGACGTCACGTTGGTTGCCTGGGGTACTCAGGTAAGCACACAAATAGATTAATGATTATCGCAAAATCCTTAACACAGCATGGTTTCTAAGTCAGAAGCTCAGACATCTCAAAAATACTTTTTAGTCACAAAGGTTTTAATCCGTACCTGGTTGTGAACCATTTCTTTCTGTGGCTCTGCTTTGAAGTGGTTGTACCTTGCAATGAATCATCTCTGCCTTGCATTGTGCCGAGCCACTTACAGGGTTTTATCCAGGCAGCAATGTAACAGCAGGGAAGTATAGACAGGGCTGTACATAAGTGGTACGCAAGTACGCATGCGCGACAAATATCAGAAATGCGTACTATTACTTGAATTAGTAAGAGCCTTTGCGTACTTCACATAGACCAGTCCTTCTCAAATAGTGGGGCACTCCTCCCTAGGGGGGCGTGGTGCAATGCCAGAGAGGCTGTGCGTGATCGTGGGGCACTTGCTGCCATTTGCTTTAAGTACTCGAACGGGATTCCAAATCCTCCGTGGCAGCAGCGTTCTGACTCCAGAGCCACTCCGCCCGCTTTGTAATGACACTCCTTGACAACAACGTGGCGAGCACGCAGCCAAACATGGTCATAATGTACCCAGCGTGGGCCATTCTCTGCTTGTTGAAATTGAGTGTCTTTGCATAATGCAAAATAAATATATACATATTGCGTTACTGCAAGAAACAGAGCTGGACTGTGGAGCATTAAGTTAATTCAAGCGACAAAAAATAGATCCACAGAGTTGTTTTCCTAATTTCCAAATCAGCTACATTTAGCTCCATCACTGAACAGAGCCATATCTCCTGTTTGGTTTTTGTCAGATTAATAGTCACTAGTGAAAATAAAGCAGGTCACACACATTTGTGATTGTCTGATCGTTTCAAAGCGAGAGCTGTTTCTGTTGAGAAAGTAAAAGCTCTGATGCTATGCCTCGTGTACGGTAGTTGATAGTTCTTCTCGAGGCACATGATCTTGTAGGATTTCCCCTGTGTCCTTTTCCCCTTCTTTCTTTTGTCTAAAGATTTGAATCATAAATTCTGCGATGTAGGTTGTGGTGTCCTCTCAGTCAGCTGTTCCCTCAGTGACATTTCACACAATCTTATAATTCAATATTATGTTTTCCTTTCTAGGTACATGTGATGAAGGAGGTTGCTAATATGGCACAGGAAAAGCTGGGCGTTTCCTGTGAAGTCATTGATCTACAAACTATACTCCCCTGGGATGCAGAAACTATCTGTAAGGTAAAATAATAACCCACAAGAAAGAACATATTCCAATTGGGCTGTTATCATGGGCAAGAGCAGTTTTTTTCTAACATCTGGCAATTGTGCAGAAACCAGACTGATAAAACCAACCAACCAACCGTGTGAGAGCTGTGAATATACAGTCAAAATTATAATCAGTTTGTATCACAGATGTACTCACTTAGCTTGGCTGTAAAATGTTTATTTAATGCTTTCTGGACGGACTGTGTGTAAGATATATTGCACACAGCGAAATATTAAAATCATTCACACTTTTAAATGGGAATTTTGCAATTGTTTGCTCACATCAAAGAGGACTACTGGAGCTTGCCATTCTTGAAATATTCTCACGTGTAAATTGTATTGAAAACTAGCACCTGTGCTATATGCATCTGGTTGGTCGTACAATAACAATACAACAATATACAACAATGTTATTGTTATGTCCATATAAAGAAAAAAATAAATTGCTACAAAAGTGGAACATAGATTTTCCTTTCTAAATTATACAATAAGAAAGTGAGCTTTGAATAAATCTTTCTTGTAAATGCAGATACAATGCAGTGAGAGAAACTGAACAAGGTACTGTCATTGTCACAGTAATGATAAATGACGCTGGCTGCAAGCAACATCATAAATATCCAACATGTACAGTGCCTTGCGAAAGTATTTGGCCCCCTTGAACCTTTCAACATTTTGCCACATTTCAGGCTTCAAACATAAAGATATAAAAATGAATTTTTTTGTCAAGAATCAACAACAAGTGGGACACAATTGTGAAGTGGAACGAAATTTATCGGATAATTTAAACTTTTTTAACAAATAAAAAACTGAAAAGTGGGGCGTGCAATATTATTCGGCCCCCTTGCGCTAATACTTTGTAGCGCCACCTTTTGCTGCAAATACAGCTGCAAGTCGCTTGGGGTATGTCTCTATCAGTTTTGCACATCGAGAGACTGGAATTCTTTCACGTTCTTCCTTGCAAAACAGCTCGAGCTCAGTGAGGTTGGATGGAGAGCGTTTGTGAACAGCAGTCTTCAGCTCTTTCCACAGATTCTCGATTGGATTCAGGTCTGGACTTTGACTTGGCCATTCTAACACCTGGATATGTGTATTTGTGAACCCTTCCATTGTAGAGTTGGCTTTATGTTTTGGATCATTGTCCTATTGGAAGATAAATCTCCGTCCCAGTCTCAGGTCTTTTGCAGACTCCAACAAGTTTTCTTCCAGAATGGTCCTGTATTTGGCTCCATCCATCTTCCCATCAATTTTTGCCATCTTCCCTGTCCCTGCTGAAGAAAAGCAGGCCCAAAGCATGATGCTGCCACCACCATGTTTGACAGTGGGGATGGTGTGTTCAGGGTGATGAGCTGTGTTGCTTTTACGACAAACATATCGTTTTGCATTGTGGCCAAAAAGTTCGATTTTGGTTTCATCTGACCAGAGCACCTTCTTCCACATGTTTGGTGTGTCTCCCAGGTGGCTTGTGGCAAACTTTAAACAAGACTTTTTATGGATATCTTTGAGAAATGGCTTTCTTCTTGCCACTCTTCCATAAAGGCCAGATTTGTGCAGTGCACGACTGATTGTTGTCCTATGGACAGACTCTCCCACCTCAGCTGTAGTTATCTGCAGTTCATCCAGAGTGATCATGGGCCTCTTGGCTGCATCTCTGATCAGTCTTCTCCTTGTTTGAGATGAAAGTTTGGAGGGACGGCCGAGTCTTGGTAGATTTGCAGTGGTCTGATACTCCTTCCATTTCAATATAACTGCTTGCACAGTGCTCCTTGAGATGTTTAAAGCTTGTGAAATCTTTTTGTATCCAAATCCGGCTTTAAACTTCTCCACAACAGTATCTCTCCACAACAGTATCACTTGCCTGGTGTGTTCCTTTGTCTTCATGGTTCTCTCTGCGCTTTAAACAGAACCCTGAGACTATCAAAGAGCAGGTGCATTTATACGGAGACTTGATTACACACAGGTGCATTCTATTTATCATCATCAGTCATTTAGGACAACATTGGATCATTCAAAGATCCTCACTGAACTTCTGGACTGAGTTTGCTGCACTGAAAGTAAAGGGGCCGAATAATATTGCACGCCCCACTTTTCAGTTTTTTATTTGTTAAAAAAGTTTAAATTATCCAATACATTTTGTTCCACTTCACGATTGTGTCCCACTTGTTGTTGATTCATGACAAAAAATTAAAATGTTATATCTTTATGTTTGAAGCCTGAAATGTGGCGAAATGTTGAAAGGTTCAAGGGGGCCGAATACTTTCGCAAGGCACTGTACATCCCTTACAGTTAAAGGTTATGGAGCTTTGATCCCATGTATCACTTGAATAATCTCACTGAGCTTCTGGACACGGAATGACACAACATATGATCGCCTTTGACTGTTATTCTTGCCACACCTTTACCAAATGCATAAAATCATGTACGCGGAGAACCAAGGTAGGGGAAAACAAATTCTGTGTTCACTTGTTTTCAAACTTTCTTTACTAATTTGAAACTTTTATTTTTACATTATTAAGCCACATGAGCTCAGACGTCTGAGCCATTGGAGCTGATTGTGGTATGACAGTATTAATTTAATGAGGCGACTGGACCAATACACATCCGAGCCTCGGATGAAATCCTGAAAGAACTTGGAATTAAAGTGAGAAGTTGTGTGTCAAGACAAAAACACATACTGAGCTTTTCTCTTCTTGAAGTGTGGCCCGATTAAAACTGCAGCCATGAAGTGCTCAACTGACCCGGCCTGCCACCTCAAGCCTGTCAGCATGATCTGTGTCATTACGTTCAACCCAAGAGCCCGATTGTCTGTTAGTACTGCAATGCATTCAACGCTGTAGTAGATAAATGTCCACTGGATACTGTATCTGGATGTGCTGCCATTTCTCTCCTGTCCATGTGTTTTATTTTCTCTTGGCCCATCCGTACTTTTTCCTGGCAAGTTACTCTAGTTGCACACCAAGCTATCCTTTTATCAACCCATTACCATATTTCACTGAGGAAACTAAATCAGTCTCTGTCTAAATGATGATTATTATCAGCTAGACTAATGCATAGGCACAGGGATGAGGGATGTTCCTTTATCTTTTAATTAAGCAGAAGCGCATATATGCAAATATCCAGATGTGCATGAGTCATAACCAAAACAAATTAAGCTTTATGGGGATGACCAGTCTATACAAGACCGTCACTTAGCTTAAATTGTATTTAAAGTAGACAAATGTATGCGGTGGTGAGTGGCATGGTACTCTATGCCCTCAGTAACCTCAGTGTCCTAACAATTTGGTGCTACTCAGGGGCGGTATGACATCATGTGACTGTGGCTCTGCCTATTCCCGACAGTTAGAAGTTCCTCCACCCGTTTTCTTTCGCTTCATCTATTGCCAGGTTGCAGTGGCAGCAAAAGAGATGCCCAAACTTCCTCATTCAGGCTCACCTCCTCCAGCTTAATGCACCTGCTTAGCATATCAGAGAGAAAGTAATGTAACTCAAGCCAAAGTGTAAAATGGTAAATGGTTTTTCAATATAAAAGATAAACCAATATAACCATTAGATTCTTCTTTCATTTGCAACATGCCCAGAAAATGGATTCCATTTACTTATTCCCTTTTGGCTTGAAGAAAGTAACTCATTATGGCTGAACCGGTTTAACTCAATACATGTCCATTAACTTAAGAAGATACAGAGCAATATGTTCATCACTTGTCAAATATAAATCAAGTTCCATCTTATATCGGGAACAAACACAACATTTTATTGATGCCTTTTAGAGAAAGAATGTATGTCCTGAGTTAGTTTAAGCAGGAATGTGCATCTGCTCTACGGCTGTGATTTTTGGAACTGATGCAGGTTGTGATGTCTGCATGTTCATGTTTCCTTGAACTCCTCTTGACTTTATACACAGATAAATTCCTCCTTATTGCATCCCTCCGTAACCTACACTTGCTCTTAATGACTTTGAGATGTATTGTTTGCCTTAATCAAAGCTGTGAGGGTTTTTTGCAATGCACTGACAAAAAGAGGTTACCAAGTTCAAACTGTTGTTCATTGACATTTGCAAGAACTGTAGTAATCAAAAAGCTTTGCGATTAACGCAAGCTGCATCACTACACTGCAAAAATATGCGTGGGTCATAGTTTGGGCTGATGAGTGCCTGGCCACATTGCGTGCTTGTGCATGCTCCAGGTTTCTACCACAGGCACACCCTGCACACTTCATGAAAGTGAAGAGGCGAGCATTTCCCCTTCAAAAGATGTATGCACTGTGTCGAGACGTAAGGTACAGCAGTACCTGTAATAACGCTGTCTTTGAAGAAGCCTCCCAGCTTGAAATGTGACAGCATTACACTAAATAAGGGCTCAGGTCTATGAGCGATTTGTCTGCCATACTTGACAGGTGCTAGCTTCCCCTAACAAACTAGCAGTTAGCAAAACTCGACTGCCTGCTTTACATAGCCCTGGCTGCGTCCTGAGCCTTCTTATACAACGCCTTTTCCTCATATGATTTTTTCTTCTTGGCCACAACAGGGCGAGTGGGTGGCAAACATGAAATTGGTACTTTTTCTTTGCCAATTTTCAGTGGGGTTTTATGTTCAACCATTGTAAGTAAGTAAGTAAGTAATATTTATTTATATAGCACCTTTCACAGACAAAGGTCACAAAGTGCTTCACAAAAAATACAAATATAAATAAAAGTACATTTACATTTACATTTACAATCACAAAACATGGTGGTCATAAAACAACCCCTTTCCCACTGGAATTAAAATGCTTTTTCAAACAAGTATGTTTTCAGTTTACACTTAAAAACATCAACACAATCAAGTAAGCGCAAGGAAAGCGGAAGATCGTTCCAGAGCGTCGGCGCGACCACCTGGAAGGAGCGATCTCCTCTCGTCTTGTAACGGGTACGAGGGACCATGAGAAGGTTCTGATCCTGAGACCTCAGCCTCCGAGAGGGGGTATAAGGACACAACAAGT